AGGCAATTCTCCTGCCTCAGCCTCCCGAGTAGCTGGGACTACAGGCACGCGCCACCATGCCCAGCTGATTTTTTGTATTTTTAGTAGAGACGGGGTTTCACCATGTTGACCGGGATGGTCTCGATCTCTTGACCTTGTGATCCACCCGCCTCGGCCTCCCAAAGTACTGGGATTACAGGCTTGAGCCACCGCGCCCGGCCATCTTGTTCATTTTTATGGCCACAGAGTATTCCATGATGTTTATGTATCATGTATTTTTAAAATTCTTATTTTATTTTATTTAATTTGTTTAGTTTTTTGTGGAGACAGGGTCTTACATTGTCACCCAGGCTGGAATGCACTGGCATGATCTTGGCTCACTGCAGCCTCAACATTCTGGGCTCAAGCAATTCTTCTACCTCAGCTGTTCAAGTAGCTTGGACTACAGGCATACGCCGCTACGCCTGACTAATTTTTTATGTGTGTTTTTTGTAGAAATGGGGTTTTCACAGGTTACTTTAGCTGGTCTCAAACTCCTGAGGTCAGGAAATCTGCCTTCATCAGCCTCCCACAGGTGTGAGCCACCGTGACAATTGAGCAATATTTTATTTATCCAGTCTACCATTGATAAGTATTTAGGTTGATTCTGTGTCTTTGCCATTGTGAATAGTACTGCAGTAAACGTGTGTGCATGTGTCTTTATGACAGAATAACTTATATTTCTTTGGGTATCCATTTATGAGGTTGCTGGGTCAATGATAATTCTGTGAGAAATCACCACACTGCTTTTCACAATGGTTGAACTGATTTACATTCCCACCAGCAGTGTATAAGCATCCTCTTTTCTATGCAACCTTACCAGGATCTATCATTTTTTGACTTTTTTTTTTTTTTAAGACGGAATTTCACCATGTTGGTCAGGCTGGTCTTGAACTCCCGACCTCAGGTGATCCGCCTGCCTTGGCCTCCAAACATTTTTTGACTTTTTAATAATAGTCATTCTGACTGATCTGAGATGGTATGTCATTGTGGTTTTTCGTAACATTTCTCTAATGATTAGTGATGAGTATTTCTTTTTTTTTTTTTTTTTTTTTTTTTTTTTTTTTTTTTTTTTTTTTTTTTTTTTTTTTTTTTTTTTTTTTTTTTTTTTTTTTTTTAAGACAGGGTTTCACCATGTTGGCCAGGCTGGTCTTGAACTCCTGGCCTCAGGTGATCTGCCCGCCTTGGCGTCCCAAAGTGCTGAGATTACAGGCGTGAGCCACCACACCTGGCTGAGTATTTCTTTCATGTGGTCATTAACCACATTATGTCTTTTGAAAATCATCTGTTCGCCGGGCAAAGTGTTTAAGAAGTGTTAAGAAGTGTTTTGTAATTATTGTTATAGAAATCTTTTACCTCCCTGCTTATTTCTAGATATTTTATTCTTGTAGCAACTATGAATTGTGGTTTTGATTTGGTTTTCGGCTTGGGTGTTGTTAATGTACAGGAATGCTACTGATTTTTGTACATTCATTTAGTATCCTTAAACTTTGCTGAAGTTGTCAGTTTAAAGAGCTTTTCAGCCAAGACTATAGTGTTTTCTAGATATAGAATTATGTCATCTGCAAATAGAAATAGTCAGAGTTTCTCTCTTCCTGTTTGGATGTCTTTTACTTGTTTTTTTTTTTGTTTGTTTGTTTGTTTGTTTGTTTGTTTTCCTGTCCCAACATCTTTTAATACAGGTGGATGGATAAAAACATGAATAAAAACACATGGATATAGGTATCTCTGAAGCAGTGTGACATAAAATAATATCTATATATACAACACTCCTCTGCAAATAGCAAATGTAAACTAAAAGATAACCAACAGATCATTTTGTTTATCTCGCTATCATTTCTTAATCTATAACATCTCCCTCCTATATATGAATCCATGCAAGGAAGCGGTACTAGCTGCCCGACAAGAGGGTAGCTCCCTTGGGTGACTTATTGAGACCCTGTTTTCATTTGGATCTGAGCTGTCCTACCCCCTTCACTGCAATCTGGCTTTCCCTTCTCTGAGTAAAGTCTGACATGGGATGGCACACCTATAGCTTCGGTGTTTGAAGCAAAGAAAGCTTTATGCAGATTTTGGCTTTTAATGGGTCTCCTCTGCCTGTAGAAAGATTCAAACCACAGCCAATTCCAAGAACCCTTCTAAGAACAGAGACAGTCACTTGAAAGGATCTGACTTGCTATACCTAAATATAATTCACACTGCTTTTCTCTATGACACACTATAATATTTTGTCCAAATATCGTGAAACATGTTATTAACTTTGAAGAAAGAATAAAAGCAGCCACTTTAGAGACTGGAGACACTCAAGCACTGATCTATTTGTAAAGTTTTTACACAGCTAAAGAAGTTTGCATCAAATGGACAAAAAATAGTACAGAAAGCCTAAGTAGAGAAAAATTTAGAAAACTCCATCTCCTAGAAAGCAGGTCAAATGGACTCAGTTAAAGAACTCACTGAATGCAGGAAAATCAATGGGAAACAACGTAAAGACTTCTGCTAGGACATAAACAGGAACCAGTCTATGTAATCAAGAAAGTACTTTGCCTCTTGATCTAAATGTCTGCCTCCAGTCTAGGGCTCAGAAAACAGTCTGGTTATTTGAACTGGTTGTCAATCAAGGTCCCCTTCATTTTCGCTCTCTTGGCTTCCAGCTCGGCCAGCTCTTGCAGTCGTCTCTTGCTCATGCCTTTGCGCTCTAGCTGTTTTTCAATCACTTTGGCATTCTGTGCATATGAATCGGCAACTTCCCTGGCCTCAATCTCCTCTTCCTCTTCATCGATGGTAGACACAGTGACAGAACTGAACTTGCCCATGTCTTTGGTCCGTTTGGTCATCATCACCTTTTTAGGAGGCTCTTGTTTCTGAGTATATATGTTTGTTTTCCCAAAGCCCTGGCCAAACTTGACTACTGCTCCGTCCACAATGAAGGTAACAGGAGCATTCTTTGGCTGGGATTGGTAGAAGAGCAGCAGTCCACATTTTGCACATTTCTTCCTGTACTGTCGTTCAAAGCCTTCAGGTCTCCGCAGATACGTAGTCTCCTCATCTTCTGTGTTACAAAACTTATGGGCATGTTTGGCAGCATCAATCACACGGGACCGGTCCCGGGGCCTCATGGGCAGTTTCTCTAACTGGCAGTCCAGCACTAGGACCATCTGGCCGCACAAACAGTAGTACACATGGAGGGGCTTCTCACCGTCGTCATACTCCTCCCGGTCCCGAGTGTCAGAGCAGACTACTGACCTAGACACTACTTTCGGCATAGTTCCCAAGATCACCCTGGACTACGCCGAGGAGATGGTCGCGCCGGAAATGACGTCACCGCCTTTTATTTCTTTGTCTTGCCTGATTGCTCTGGTCAGGACTTCCAATTCTATGTCTAATAGAAGTGATGAGAGAAGATATCCTTGTCTTGTGCCAGTTTTCAAGAAGCAGTGCTTCCAGCTTGTGTCCATTCAGTATGTTGGCCGTGGGTTTGTCATAGATAACGCAGTTTTTTGAAGTATGTACCTACAATGCCTAGTTTTTGAGGGTTTTAAACATAAAAGATGTTAAATTTTATTGAAAGCATTTTCTTTTTTT